TGAGCTGAAGAGGCGAGCAGAAAAGTGGGAAAGGAGAATATACAGAAATAGTGAGGTGCTGGGGTGTTTATGAAGCGGTACCCTGACTGTCTGGAAGGGAGGTCGGTCCCTTTCTCTCCTCAAATAACGGTGCCGAGTGTGGAGCTACATGAATGATGAAGTCAACATTGGCTGGAACACTCAGATGGTCTCTCAGGACCTTGCTGTGTGTCAGTGGTCCAGGTGAGAAACCACTGAGGGCAGTGATACAACAGTCACGTTGGGGGCCGGTGCCTACTGACCTTTGTGCACAGAAACTCAGGTTATTTTTAAACTTTAATGTTATTTTCTGATTTTTTTATGCCATTCAGTCTTCTACATTTGCAGTTCTTTTAAAGGACATTGTTAATCCACCAAATCGTTTGCCAAAAATAACTAAGTGACTGTAATGATCCCCAATACCAGCAACGGCGTGATGGGCTGAATGAATTCTGTGCTCTAAACTTTTTCTGATTATTTGACAGTATACCTTGAATCTCTAAACCATCCTGAGTGTTGCCTTTCCTTTTTTTTGGGTGGGGGGAGAGGGAAAGTGATATGCATGATTTACTTTTCTCTATATATTCCCTCATTGGGTCCCTTCTCCTTCTCATTACTCAGGCTAAGTACCTTCAGTATCTGATAAAATGGGCAGCCTATTTCCAGGCTGAAAGGCATGAGAGAAGCTGAGCAGAAATGGTCTCTGTCCAGAGTTCTCTCCTTTCTCTGATTACTATGGACGTTGAGTTAGATATCAGCCGGCCTGGATTTCCTTGTCCTGAGTGAGATCATTAAAATGAGCTTGTCATCTTCGGAAGCACATAGGAAGGACATCTTGTGGAGTCCTGTAGCTCAGTGGTTAGAACATTTGCCTAAAATAACATTAAAAATAAATAAATAAATTGGTCACTCAATCCACGACTGTTTTATGGGACACTGCTGTGCGCAATTGGCTGTCGCGTTTTACCCACAAAATATACAGTCAATTAATTTTACAGTACATTCTGTGAAGCACTTTGAGATGTCTTGGAAGACATTAAAAGATGCTATATTAAATGCAAGGATTATTATTATTGTTATTATAAGCAGGGGAGAGAGGAGATTCTGTGCTGTGTTTGCTGTTAAGTATCCTTGGATGCTCTGGGTGTTTGGCAATTGAAAACGGCTTGTCTAATGTAGACTCACAACAGGTAATTGCTTGCTGTGTTTGGAACCATCCCAAGGTAGCATTGCTGAGGTTAGGAACTTCACGAACTAGGGGAAGGAATCAAACCTGTGACACACCTGTTGTTGCTCCAACTTGCCTTGCTACCTCTGCCAAGAACGTTATGCTTTCACTTTGTTTTAGACTTTGTAGTCTAAAGGAATCCTTTGTATAAATCCTCTACACTGCATCACCTTCTTCCAAAATTGTGTTGTTGAGAAGATCACAGGCACGATGCAACCAAAAGTGCGTCAGAAATGTACTTCCTTCAAGGCTAAAGAGACAATGTCACTTCAAACGTCTTTGATTGAAATTGCAGAAACATCATGTTAATAGTTTATCTCACTGTGAGACATTTTGTTTCCTAAAATGGGATAGTTTGGGTGATATTGTACTCCAGATGGCTTTTCCTGGAGTTTTGGGTTTGAGTGTTGCCTCAATTTGATTTTTTAGAGGACCTGCAGCAAATTTGCACTGCCATATGGATTCCTTTAGAAATTGCTTTGCTCCTGTGATTGCAATCGCCTGCCTCTATCCAACTTGTCTTGAAATTCAGCTCATTGTAATACTGCCCCAGAGGATAGAGTTCAAAATCCTCATCCCTGCCTTGAAAGCCCTCCCTGGACTTGCTCCTTCCTACCTCTGTGACCTGCTAACTCCACATAGACCTGTTCACTCCCTCTGCTCAGCGGGCTCTGGCCTGCTTCAAAACCCCCGCTTGGCCAGCCTGTGGAGTCCTGTAGCTCAGTGGTTAGAGCACTCGCTTTGCAAGTGAGAGACCTGAGTTCAATTCCAGGCAGGGCGAAACCTTGGGCAAGTTTCCTTACTCCACACGCCTAATAATAATCCCTCCAAAAAACAAAAACAATAATAAATTGGTCATTTTCAATCCATGACTGTTTGTGGGACATTGCTGTGCGCAATTGGCTGCCGCATTCGCCCACAAATATACAGTCAATTTACTTTACAGTGTGTTCTGTGAAGTGCTTTGGAACGTCCTCCCGACGTGAAAAGCGCTATATCAAATGCAAGGATTATTATTATTATCATTGGTGGTCGGGCCTTCAGCTTTTCTGCCACCACCCTCTGTAACTCCATCCCACAGTCCCTTCGCCTCCCTCGCCTCCTTCAAGGTCCTTCTCAAGACTCTCGTCTTCGACCATGCATTCGGTCACCCTTCTACACTTATCCCCACTATCCTCCACCTCTCCTGATCCCAACTCCAAGCTCGGGTCTAAACCCCTGACTGTGCCTTGCGACATCCTCCTGATGCATGAGCGCTATACAAGTTTAATTTATTGTTGCTGCCACATGAATTCCTTTAGAAATTGTTTTGCTCCTGTAATTGGAATCGGCAGCCTCTGTCCAACTTGTCTTCAGATTCAGTTCAGTGTAATGCTACTTTGTTAGTAACTTTACAGATGTTCGCTGTATTGCAACATAAGCAAGCAAACTGAAGGAGAACAATGTATTCTGTTCACGTATAAATGCAGGAATACGGCAAGTTGTGATCCTGTGTATCTAGGTCTGACTTCTAGCAATCACATAAAATCCATTGTTTGGACTGGAAGAGGAGACAAACTTACCCATCCGTTACAAACTTGCATTCCTCCCATATCCCCCCCACCCATGGTGACATAGGAGGTGCTGGACTGCTAAGACCCTTATTATTTCCTTCACTTACCCATTTGTTTTTCTTTACTTCTCCTCCCAGCCTCTCATCTCTATTTTCTGGTTTACCATCATTCTTAATTCTTTTTCCTTTTCTTTCCTTTCTTCCTCATCCCTTTGAGTTTTCCAACTCTCCTCCTCCTCTCGTTTCTCCTCTTGCAGCCCCATCTCTCGTGTCCTTTGGATCTTTTTTCTTACATTCCTTGTACTCTCCTTTGCGTCTTTTACCTGCTTTTTCATGCTGAGGCCATTTCTCCAGCCACTGGCGTTTGAAAATGAGAGCTGTGTGGAATCGAAGTGTGGTGGAAATGTTGCATGTTCAGTCAGAAACAAATGTCCTCCTTTGTCAGCCAGCAGCGCTAATGTCCTCCATAATCAGCCAGTAGTGCATATGTTCTCTGTATTGCAATCCATTTAGTCAGTACAGTAAATGTAATATGCATTCACACAGTAGTGCAAATATACTCAATATTGAGCCAGTAGTGCTCCTTAACACATTATGCTTATGAGTGACAATTCTGTCGTGGCACTCCTGATCACTAATAGCAATGCCAAAACTTTGAAATTTCATGTCAATCAAATGCTTATTTCATGTTTAGTGAAAGTAAGATATTTAGACTGAATATTTCAATTTGCACGACTATAAGGGAGCATAAGGACACCTTCCAGTTCAACACCACTGTAGTTGAAGTTAGCAATTAAACCATTGTGGAGTCCTGTAGCTCAGTGGTTAGAGCACTCGCTTTGCAAGTGAGAGACCTGAGTTCAATTCCAGGCAGAGGGCGAAACCTTGGGCAAGTTTCCTTACTCCACACGCCTAATAATAATCCCTCCAAAACTAAAAACAATAATTAAATTGGTCATTTTCAATCTACGACTGTTTGTGGGACATTGCTGTGCGCAATTGGCTGCCGCGTTCGCCCACAAATATACAGTCAATTCACTTTACAGTGTGTTCTGTGAAGCGCTTTGGGACGTCCTCCCGACGTGAAAAGCGCTATATCAAATGCAAGGATTATTATTATTATTATTATTAATAAGGTGGCTGTCATAGAGTTCCTTCTTGTACACATACATTCTCTTGGCTCTGTTCTACTCACGTGGGATTGAAATTTGTTTGCTTTGCAAAACTTTCTTCTTCAAGCATTTATGATTTTTTTTAGCACAGAGGCTTGCGGCTAACTTCGATTACATTGTGACCCATTTTCTACAGTGTTATTAATCCATTTGAACTGATCTGTTTCCAGGTCCATCACTGCATTTGAATGAAGATCAGACACTCACATAAGGTGGCATAATGACCACAATTACAATATACTAAGGGAACTTTGTATATTATAATGGTTGTGCTTCACTAGTAATGGACTTCAAAAATATGTATATTCATAAATCTGATCACAGGGTTGCATAGATAATAATAATAATAATAATCCTTGCATTTGATATAGCGCTTTTCACGTCGGGAGGACGTCCCAAAGCGCTTCACAGAACACACTGTAAAGTGAATTGACTGTATATTTGTGGGCGAACGCGGCAGCCAATTGCGCACAGCAATGTCCCACAAACAGTCGTAGATTGAAAATGACCAATTTAATTATTGTTTTTAGTTTTGGAGGGATTATTATTAGGCGTGTGGAGTAAGGAAACTTGCCCAAGGTTTCACCCTCTGCCTGGAATTGAACTCAGGTCTCTCACTTGCAAAGCGAGTGCTCTAACCACTGAGCTACAGGTCTCCACTAATAAAACCAGTCTGAGTGAACTTTGTTTTATATTTGGAGGAATGACATTTCATAACATTCTGAATACTAATGTGATTTTGTTTCAATCTAAACTTGATCCAAGTACAGTGAAATTTAAACAAAATTGTCCCTCATTCATCCCCTTTCACTTGCAAACTGGCTTTGTGTACATTACACTCACAAGCAAAATCAACAAATGTTGTGACATTTTCTGCTGTTGCTTTACGAGCTGCAGATCAGCATTGTTTAATGGTATCAGAAAAGAAATCTGGCAACTTTCTCCCTTTTTTTGAAGTTTGGAAAGATGATCTGCACTTCAAGCTGTTGCACTTACTGTTACTGAAGTGTTTGTGCTTGTTTTATTTCAGAGGATGAGAGTCGTGGTCCAACCTATCACAGAGAGAGAAGAAACGCAATTGCAATGCAACCACACGCTGGTGGGCAAAGCTTAAGTAAAATCAGTGAGGAGCCATCAACATCCACTGAAGATCGAGCTTCTCTAATAAAGAAGGAGGCCCATGGATCTATATCACACATACCTGAGCACTCTATCCCTTACCGTGGGGCACTTTTTGCTATGGATCCGAGAAATGGCTACATGGACCCACATTATCGTAAGTAATGCAATATTAAAGTGTCAATGCATCAAAGTTAATGTTCAACAGAAGATGTAGAAAGAAACCAGTTTCTGATCAACAAGCCCAGGACTGATGCTGATTACCAGCTCAGTCTATTTAGGGATCAATAGAGATGGTACTGTTGATTTGTTGCCTACTTGTTGGGAAGCTTCCATTGGTTAAGATGCTTCAAATGCATCTTTGAAGGAAGCAACCCTTTCAGCCGGCCAACGTATACTGTGCGATTGTACATCATTAGAACCTGCACATTTTCCAGTTATTTCTGCCTTTTTAATATACAGTTCTTGCTCCAACATCCTAGGGATTTTTGGAAAGATAATCAAAAGAGGTGACTGCAGTCCTCCAGCAATTATACTTTGTTGATTTATTCATCTCCTTTCACTGTTAAAAATTTCATTGCATGATTTAGAATGAATTTTTAAAGCAAACATAGCTAAGCGAATATCTTTTGAGAAACTATGCCTATCTATTAAGTGAATAGATACTCAGTATCTAACTGTTTCTTAGACTTTATTCATTTAACTAGATACTTAAATGAAAATTCTGTCAATAAATACATTTNGCTCAAATGGGTGGCTTTGAGGAAGCGGGATAATTAAACGAAAATTCTCTCATTAAATACATCAAAAGACTATTGAAACTTTTGCAGAATCAGGAGTATACGCAATAGATTTTCCCTATGACTGCTGCAGTAAGAAAAAGAATCACAGATAGCTGTGACTAATAAAAAAACACAGATGCTGTCATTTCAACATTAGTTGCAAGCAAATGTCCCTGATAATTTCATGCAGTTTTATGGCAAGTTGACTATTCATTTAACAGAGATTCTCCATCATTTCTCCTCTGTGAAAGCAGAGTGGTCTGTTGAGATCGAAATGATAGTTGGTGAAAACTGGATCTTGGTTGTTTGTGATTGACGTGCTTGGTTTCATCGTCTGGTGTAGAACACAATAATGAATGTTTTTTATTTGCACCCGAAGACATAGTCCATGTGGCGCACTGCACAATTTACACAGTCCCGAGTTTTGACATTGACTTATAAAGTCGGAAACCAAAGCTGTTGACAAAGCAGCAATTAAAGCCATTAATTAGTGGGCAGGTCCAATTAAATCAGGCTGCATTGCAATTTCAGATTTACTTCAGTGAACTGGGGCTAACTGGAGGAACACATACAATTCCAACATGATGGTTAGTTACCTGCTCTACCTCTCTCCTTTTAATGAAGGTGATTGACCTACAGGTGCAAGATTCTGAAATGGTAATTTTAACCAAATTGGTATGAACCTGGAACGAATGGGAGGCTCTGTCTATAGGTGATGGCTTAAGTACAGTCCTGTAGTTTCATGGTTAGAGCACTTGCCATGCAAGCGAGAGGACCTGGGTTCGATTCCCGAGCAGGGCAAAACATTCCTTACTCCACACACCACTGTTCAATTAGAATGAGTAAGAACCCGGTTGTTATTGCCCAGCTCCACCACTGTCTCTCACCTCAAACTGCCGAAACCCTCATCCACGCACTCATCATATCCAGGCTCCACTATGCAAACTACCTGCTTGTCGGCCTCCCCAACTCCTCCCTCCACAGGTGGCAGATCATCCAGAACTCTGCAGCCCGTGTCCTCTCCTGCAGCAGGCTCTGCGACCCTATCACCCCCATTCTTGTCCAACTCTACTGGCTTCCCATCACACGGAGGATACAGTTCAAGATCCTGGTCCTCACTTTCAAAGACCTCCACGGCCTTGCTCCTCCCGACCTCTGTGACCTTCCAACCCCTACCAATGTGTCCGCTCTCATCGCTCAGCGGGTGCCGGCCTGCTTTACTCCCCCGCATTGCCCGCTCCACCAATGGCAGGCGGACCTTCAGCTTCTCTGCCCCCACCCTCTGGAACTCCATCCCACAGTCTCTCTGCATCGACTACACCCTTGCCTCATGCAAGGCCTGTCTCGAGATCCTCCTCTTTGACCGTGTCTTCGATCACCCTCCTACCCCTACCCTCCTCACCCTCCACCCCTCCTGATCCCATCCACCAGCTCGGGTGTGGATCCCTGACTGTCCAGGGCTTTGGGACGTCCTCCTGACGTGAAAGGCGCTATACAAATGGAATTTGTTGTCGTTTGTTGTTGTTAGTCAATTGACGGATTGCTTTTGTGGGCTAATAAATCTAAATAATGATAATTTGGTTACTCAGTCCACGATTGTTTGTGGGATATTGCTGTACGCAATTAGGTTCCATGTTTCGCCCACAAAATGTACAGCTAATTCACTTCACAGTATATTCTGTGAGGCGCTTTGAGAAGTCTTGAAGACTTTATAAGGGCTAAAATATCAAATGCAAGAATTATTATTGTTATTACAGTACGTCCTCTGCAACTACAACAGCTGATCCATCTCTGACACTGAAGGACCTGAATTTAGTTTTGCTCATAGTTTATTCTAATCACCTGGGGATGATTTCACCTTCATTGACCAGGGAATTGTATCACCTGCATTGTAGGGGTGACCGATGTATTGCCCGAGCAGGCTCATCCATTTCCACTTTGTTTCAGTTAACAGTTGGAGAGACAGCAACAATTTGATGCTGGTTTTGCCTTCCCCAAGGTCTCTGCAGTGATTGACTGCACTTGTGTAGCGGTAAAGGTGCCCAGAGTCAGTCCAATAGTGTACATTAATTGTGAAGGCTCCCATTCAATCAATGTGCAGGTGGGCTGCAATGGATAGGCTTTGTCCTGTAAAGGATTCTGCAAAAGATCTGATATGTCACCTCACAGTCCCTGATTCACATTTGAATCTTTCTTCAGTTAGTTGTGTCTGGATGCGTCAAGGAAACACAATGACAGACTGCAATGCAGTTAGTACAGTGATGACTGAAATGGTGCCCCAATTGGGGTGTAGTCTCATTAGCTTTCCTTGTACAACACCTTGCATTATATATTTTGTGGTTGCATTTTTCCACGAAACACACAGCACTTTGGGACAACTTCCTGATGTGAATGGCGCTAAACTATTATTATCGTGTCCTTCACACAGCATAGTGTCTTGGAACACTAAAAGCAAGTCTGAAGTTGAATGATTTAGCTTACGACACCTACCAATGTACTGTTGGTAGCAGTGAGATTGCTGAATTTGAAGTTGAAATTGGGAGAGGGGAAATCAGCATTATCACCATATTTTACATTGAGCAGCAATACAGCCAGCCCATTATACACAGAATATAAATTGTGATGTTTATAAGAAAGGAAGCTGTAGGTGCAATAAATAAGAAGTCGAAGCTGGTTCCTGTAAGTTTATTCACAGGTGAAGCAATGTCATTTTTCTTGGCTGGTCTTGTTCTGAAGTCACACGATACTCTCGTAATGATGGTACATGTAGGTATCGTAAGTTAAATCATTTAACCTCGGATGTCAGAGCTAAATGTGAGGCAGACATGCTTTCAAGTCTCCAGACTGCATTTGCAATCAACACATTGAGGCCCATGGAGGGGGCCGGTCTGGTGCTTTCTACATTAGCCAGAAAGTTTAGTATCTGGAGGTGAAAGGTCATCGGACAGATGACTGATTAGCCAAGACAGCTGATTAGTGGAGGGTTTAACATTACTGGTGCCAGGGATGAAAGCAGATTTGATTGACTCATTAGCTTGGCAGCAGAGGGGAATGTACACTTTATAGGACTTGGATCAAAGAGACTCGAAATCTCTAGTCTGGTTGTTGGTTTTGTAGGTTCAGGTACTGAGGGGATTGAAAAAAGTCGGATTTTCTTTTCCTTGCTTAACATATCAGTACTGGCATTCACTTCCAGTTGCTGCGGATCCCATCGATTCAGGTGTCCCAAATAGGTTTTTACAATCCAGATACCTGAAGCACAGGCACGACAGATCCATTTTAATGTTTTAAAAGTTATTATTTGCAGTTGTTTTAAAAAAACATGATGAGTGCTGCTAATGGGGGGGGGGGGGAGGGGCGAGTATGCTTTTCATTAAAAGTCATATGTTCTCCCATTTCTACTCTCAAACTGAGGTGTAGTTCCGGAGATGGTGATATCTCTGGGTTATGTTCCTCAAGTGTGAGCCTTAGGCTTTGAATAGATTGCAATCGTGAGCAAGATCCCTGGTTGAACTTAGCACAAGACTGTTCCCCCTCCCGACTGCGGTCTTCTCTCTCGTTATATTCCCTTGAACAGAGTATGAGTGGGTTTCATGCAAGGAAGATGATTTGTCCATTTTCTCAAAACAGTCCTTTGGGTCTGCAAGAGTTAAATGCCGGGAACCATTAGAATGCATTTTGTGCAGTCTTGAGCCTGCGCTTTATGACATCTGTGGTAAAATAGTCCATTTTTATGGCTTTCTGATATCCATCAATGAAGACTGTTGCCTGCTGGCATTAATTAGCAAGAATTAGTGCACGCTCTCTTCTCACATGTGACCGGTATTAACCCAGCCATGTGCAGCTGAGGTTATAATGTATAGTGTTCAATCTTATTCAAACAGGGGAGCATATTTGTGGATTAGCTATAGCAAAATAAGTCTTGAGTAGCCAATATCTCACATGAGGGTTTGGTTTCACGCCTTCCTCCCTGCGTGAGAGCATGAAAAATGAACAGAGGAAGGAGAAAGTTTGCACTGACAAATGCAGTGGTGACTCCTGACCTCTGTGCGTACCTCTTAAATCTTTCGCAGGTGTGTGTTATGCCATTGAGAACACTGCCCTCTTTTCAAGGAACGCTTTTGGTGCTGTTTCTGGGGTGATCCGTTTTCATCCTGAGTCGGTGTTTAATGCAGCTAATATGGCAACACCTGCAGCCATTACCACCTGGTTGTCAGCCCCTGATGTAGTGTCGTTCAGAAGTCTGTTGCTGCTCCATTAGTTTAGACCTTTTGTCAGCACAAAAATGGACACCTCAGTCTCCAGATCTGCTGAGAGCTCCCTTGATTACGATTGTGTATGTGTATGTAGTGCAGTGAATGTATAGGCAACTCAA